AAGGATAGTAAAGGCAGCGTGGTGCTTGAAGCACTAGGATTAAACGTTTGTCGTTGTCAAATATCCTTGCGTTCGTTTGCTTACGAGATACACAGGTCGAGACCTATACACGGATGGGCTACGGTATGATTGGGCAGAAAGATATGTATTCCGGAGACGAGTACTTCAGTACACTGTATGTTTTCAAGAAAGATTTCAGCTGAGCTTCTAGCTCATTTATGTGGTTTCGGGTGTATGTGTATTACCCTCCCCTGTTTTGACTCTATATACTGACTAGTGATGTGCCCAGCGGGCCACCATATTTAAGGGAGATGAATGCCGCCGAGTTGGCCATTTCGAGACATTTGGCTCCACAATCAAACAATTCAGGTTCGTTCACTAAATTTTATCTGGAATATATTTCTCCGCATGAATGCTCCTCGATAAGAAAGAGAGTGATGCTGAATTCATAGAAAAATAGGCGAATCTGAGAATATCAATGTATATTGATACAGAAGCGGTTGCTTTCTAGGCTACTTTCACGTTGTACGTCCTTATTTCTATTATATTTTTCCTCAATATTAATCTAAGTTATACCGATGAACTGTCAGTTTACGATTAACTTTGTTGTTGACGTGTAGTGCGGCTCCGCTGCATGACGCCTTCAACATCTATTCGACTCATTTCACTGACATTGTTTTAGTATAAATTCAAGACGTCCAAGGGGTTTCAGTGGCAAACTTTCGTGATTTATTTATCCTTGCAACAATGTCATCACATCTCCTCATACGACGAATCACCCAACCTACCGGTATGTGACCCAGTCAGCAAACGTCCTCCAATAAAGTAATCTGACTTTCATGTTCTTGCAGATGGCGAGCTAGAAAAGCTCGCGTCAATCAGGATTGAGTCTGATAACGATTTGAGACGTGTGTAACAACGTTTAAGGGTTTGGTTCCATCGAATACTCATGCTTTGATAGCGAACTTCATCACTGATCTCACCGGATCTGGTACACCTCTTCAAAGAGAAATATGGAAAGCAATCATCCGTGCCGGGTGTCTCGCGGGATACCATTTTGCTGCATACTTTTCCAATAATCCAGATGAACTTATCGGAGAAGTAACTTTCTATCCTCCAGGCGTACATGTAATGGCAGAGTGAGAGCATTACCTTCATCCATGTTAACGTCAGACTGATGCCAGATCATGACCATGTTTCTAGCGAAGAACAACGTGAACAAGGATGGAATACGGCCGCAGCCAAGATATTCCCTGAAAAACTTCTGAAATTTGTTAATGTTGTGAGTAGTGCACTTTGTCGCATCTGTGCAGGCCCCCCCTTTGACAAATATATATTGCTACGCTCAGAATGTCCCTGCCTATAACACCGCGGTTACTTCCGTAATTGACCCTTCTGTCAAAGACCGCTCTTGGTCAGTCAACACCCTCGCAGTCCTACCAAGCTACCGACGTCGAGGAATAGCAACCGCATTGCTACGAGAGGCTGAAAAATTAGTAAGTGATCATCGCTACATCCATGATAGATCTTGACCAAACCTGGATAGGTCGCGGAGAGCCATCATTCAAGTATCATACTCGAAACTTATGGTTGGAATGTAACTCGTCGAAGTTCCTTTGACTCATGTCCCCATTTTACTGATCAATTTCTATTAAAGGTGCAAATGTACCTCGGATTGGGGTACCAATTGGTAGGGAGTCATGCTATGGGCGTTGTGAGTGAGGAAGGCGAACAATATCCAGACCTTCAGGTCTTCAAAAAGGACTTCAGCCTGTCTTCTGACTTGTAATTCACATGACTAGACTTCCTGGACTCTCTAGAATCCCTACCTTATTTCCTTTTGTATAGTCTTTCCATTTTCATTGACCCATGGTGTCTTGGACTGCCAGGACTGGTACTCCAACGTTTCCAAGTTTCCCCGACTCTGGTAGTCATTGGACCCTGTTGAGGTGTGTCGCTAGCCACGTACAGCGTTGTGTCAATGTTCTAAGCACTGACGAATTCGTTTTACAGAATGCATCATCACTGAAATACACAGTCTTTAAATGTAAGTCGTTCTTCCGACGGCCCGTCAACACTTCATCATCTCTGACCATGATCACTACGTAGAACTCATGCTGTCTTTTTTCAATACAAAGACTCGCTTAGTGCGAGTTTTCGCATCATTCTTTCACTTGACGCAAGCCTTCAACCATTACACGACACTCACGAAGCACCACCATAGTCGTTCAAAGCGGCCCGTTCAATAGTGTCGGGAGAATGGGATTCGACATGCCATAGCTCACTCGTTTTAGACACCGCCTCGAAGAAAGAATTCGTCAAAGGGTGCAATTATGTTCTCGTAATGGAACCCTCAGTATATTATTCGACCGAAATTAAAGCTACGCATGTCCAATTCTATTTCAAGTTTTCTTCTTTTCATTTGCTGAATCAAGCTTATTCTCATCCCACCCTATGACTTGCTCCACCATCACACTGAAAGAACGAGATGTTGCTGTCGTTGCATTATTCTCGTTCAGGTATTTTAAGCTATAGAACATAACAAACTCCGGAGAATGAGATCAACCGAGAAATAACCCGTTCTGTCATGCCATACAGCACTCGCACTGAAACCATTGGTCCGGGCGGCCCGTTCAGGTTTTTCAACACTCTAAATTTTGAATTGACACATGTTTTCTGTTCGAAGAAGATGGTTATGAACAATGAACGGAGACTCTGAAAAGGTATAAAAGAAAGGTGTTGAACATGGACCATTCCCTCAAGCTGAAGAGCTACAAGCAACCAAGTGTTTTTACTAGGTATTCCACTACTCCTCGGAATTTTCAAGATGAAGACTTCTTTCTTTTTGGTCGTCGCCGCTGCACTCCTTGTCACAGGTTCAGTCGTCGAGAAACGCGCTGCTCCCGGTGAGTATCCTTGACTCTACTGTTATCGTCGATACACCATATTCTGATTTCATTGTGCCGCATTTTCACCTAAATCAGTCAACCAGCTCGTCGGGTATGCTACCTTGAACGGCGGTACAACTGGAGGAGCCGGAGGACCAACTGTCACGTCAGTCATCCTCCCCGCAGGATATCACAATGGGTAGAAATTCTGATTCTGAGCCTTTCACAGAGTCACATCTTTGGCAGCGCTTCGCTCTGCTGTTACAGGTGCATCTCCTAAGATTGTTCAAGTTTCCGGCATTATTACTGGAGGTACGAGCCTTGTGCACGCCAACGTTGATTTACTCAAGTTTTTCGATAGACGGAGACACCATCGATGTTGGAAACCAGTAAGTTGTTCTAGCTATTGATGACTTTTACTTATTTAAATTAATTTGTTGATTGTAGTACAACCGTCATCGGTGTTGGTTCAAACTCTGGTGTTACAGGCGGTGGTTTCCGTGTCAAGGTTGGTTTCATCTACTGTTTGAAATGCGGTCTGAAAGTGAATATCTTGCATTTTTTCATAGAAAGGAACCAATGTCATCTTCCGTAACCTTCGTCTTTCCAAGTCGCCTGCTCCTACTGATCTCATCGAGCTCCAAACCTCAACCAACATCTGGGTTGACGTACGTTTTTATCTTTTAATCTCTTTTTTGCATGTTTGCTAATGATCATCTTCACCTTGCAGCATAACACCGTAAGTCTCTCTCCCCTTTTTTTTCCTCTGAAACCTGATATCCGTTTGAAAGTTTTCGTCCGATTTGGACCATGACAAGGATTTCTACGATGGACAACTTGACATGAACCACGGAACGGAGTGAGTTAATCTTCAATCCCTTTAACCTGATGTACTTGATTATTGATGTGGTTCTTTGTCTTTAGCTTCGTCACCGTCTCATGGAACGTCTTCACTGAGCACTTTAAGACTTCCCTCGTTGGTGGTTCCGACAACACTGGCGATGAGGATAGCGGCCATCTTAGGTTCGTAAATTGACTGCTAACTTGTGAATTTTTATCTGATACTCTGTCATCGCAGGGTTACTTACCAGTACGTATCCTCATCTTCCGTTTGATTGAGAGGGGATATCGCTCATCTTTTGTCCAGCCACAACTTGTTCAGTAACGTGAACTCTCGTACTCCTTCTCTTCGGTTTGGAACGGCGTCAGTGTTTTCAACCCCTCTACCTGACAGAGTCATTGAACTTACCTGTTTCAATCACAGCCACATCTTCTCCAACTCCTTCCAAACCATCTTCGACTCTGCTGTTGATTCGAGAGATGGTGCTCAAACGTTGATCGAAGACAACGTCTTCAACAATGTTTCGAACCCAATCGAGACTACCCTCAACGGAGGCTTGTAAGTACTACCCTTTTGCTAACACTACATGGTATACTCATATACCCACCTCGGTTTTATTTAGTGCCGTTCAAAGGAACAACATTTTCACTGCTACTACTCTTGACCCCGACCTTGCTGTTGGAACTCTCACCAGTGTTCCTTACAGTTACACGTACGTTGTTGTTCATTAACTTTCCTCTTAGGTTTGACATTGACTTTCAATTATACTTGTCCTTTAGTACCGACGCAGCGTCCTCCGTTGCTTCAATTGTTCAAGCTAGTGCTGGTGCTGGTATTGTTACATCCGTTTGAGTTCCAAAAAGTCGAAGTCCAGAATTGAATCTTTGTATATATATCAAGACTGTATGTCAAAGTCAATGTCACCGTTTCATATCACGATTGGAAAGAGCCCTTTCATTTGTATACAATGATACCAAATGAATTGTATGATGTTTTACAACACACTGGATTCTCGCTCAAACTAAACATATTAAGAACATAAGCTGGCTGGACGACTGTTTTCACCTTCAAGCCACCCGTAAGTCACCCGGGCGTAAAATTGATTAAATCACCTCTAACTTGGCAGAAAACTCACAGTGAACCTTCAATACATTTAATCCAATAGACCACCACCCCAACAGACTTGCGATTTCTCAAAAAAAGTGACTCGGGGCGAATTTGATATTTTTACGTCAAAATTCAAATTCAAAAGTGTGCTTGCAAAAGTTTAGTCCTTCGGGCCGGGATCGAACCAGCGACATCAAGATGCGCGAAAGTTGGGTAACCAATTACAGTCTTGCGCTCTTCCAACTGAGCTACCGAAGGTTGCAAAGTTGAGAGTCTTGTCTACTTACAACACCCTTTAAAAGACATCGCCTGTACTTCCGTCCGTCTGTAAGTCACGTGACACATTCGCACATAGCTCTGGAAACAAGGACTGCCCACATTCCGAAAACTTTGCAGAGAATCATGAATACATTGCAGCAGACAATGCACTGAGTTATACACCACAATGACTATACAATCTCCCAAAAAGCGGAAAAGTTACAGAGTCCAGCGCTAAAGAATGAATTGTGATTTCGGCACGCTGACTAACCCCCAAAAACCAAATTCAATCACACCTTTTCTCTTGCATCCGGAATCACTGATTGCTTGAATTGTTCATCAATCCTAGTTCACCGCCATACACGCTCGAGCTCAAGATTGCAACAGGTAAGTCTCGATACTAGTCATGAACGGCAAGTCACAGTATTACTTATGGTTGATAGACTGCTAATAATATTTGATGCATGGCAGGCCTTTTGGCCACATGTTCACGAAGCATATGGTGATTATGCAGAAGTCGTAACCCAGGGATTTCAAGAAGACATTGGCAATGTTTTAAGGGTTCTCCACATGCGTCGAACTTTGGACGCGGAGTGTCTTCGGCCATTGAGGGGACTGCATCAAGGCTGAAGTTCAATTGAGAGAATGTCTCCTTCACTTCCCTGTTGGCACAAAACCGATTTCTTTCTATTTCGTTAGGGCTGTGGTGGTTCGTGCATGACCATCGAAGTCTCAGAGCTCCGACGAGTCACAGCGCTTTCGGCATAATCTGAGTCCTTGATGGAAGGATCGCAATTGATTCGCGAAGACATCAAGACTTTCTTCCCGCATATCCTATGGGTCCACCGCTTTGTGTAAACGGAGATATTTAAGCTTGGCCAGATGTTCAGAAATCCACATTCATTTCCGCGCTTCCCTTCTCTTTCTTCTCTCCCAACAGGTTTTCTTCTCCCCTCTCTTTATCTTTCGGTATCGCTCTTTCTCCTACCATTTAACCCCCTTCCTACCCAACTTAGCATGTTCAAACGAGCGACTATGGGCATACCTTGGACTCTCCTATCCTTGTCACTCTTTCTCAGTCCCGTTTTCGTCCAAGGGTCTCTAATTGATATCGATGCAGACGTTGGGGTTGGTATCGGCGTAGGTGTCGGAGTAGGCGGTGGCAAAGAATCTTTAGTGTCGGCAGCATGGTATGCAGGTTGGCATTCTACCGATTTTCCATTGTCAAAAGTCAGTTGGAACAAGTACACTCATTTGACTTATTCTTTTGCGTGAGTATTGACATTCGCTTTTATTTTTGGATCGAAACTTACAATCTACTTTGATTAGTGTGACAACTCCGGATGTGAATGAATTGTCACTCGAGGGATCTAATCCTGACTATTTACCCAAATTTGTTTCTGCTGCTAAACTTCATGTACGTCGTTGATTTTATTTCCCGAAATCAGACGGTATATTGACGAAACTGGCTTGACGTAGGGTGTCAAAGCTTTAGTGTCCGTCGGAGGATGGACAGGATCACTATTTTATTCCTCTGCAGTCGCTACTGCTGAAAACCGTACCGCGTTCGTGAAGACAATCACCAATTTTGCAACGAAATACAAATTGGATGGTATTGACTTCGAGTACGTCTACTTCAAATTCTCGTTATCCATTATTCGATATTGATCAATGCTTAAAGCTGGGAATACCCTGGTAATCAAGGGATAGGTTGCAACGTCGTCTCACCCAACGATACGACAAATTTCCTTCTATTCCTTCAACAACTCCGCCAAGATCCAATTGGACGAAACCTCTTTCTTACAGCCGCCACCTCAGTTCTCCCTTGGAAAGGACCCCAAGGTACCCCTTTGACTGATGTATCAGGATTTGCCAAAGTCTTGAATTATATCGCTATCATGAACTACGACATTAGTGGATCTTGGCTTTCGTACGTTGGTCCAAATGCTCCATTGGATGATTCTTGTGCTCCTGCTGCAAACCAACAAGGATCCGCTACAGCAGCTATCAAAGCATGGACTGCTGCAGGAATACCTGAGAATCAAATCGTTTTGGGTGTTCCTTCATATGGACATTCATTCAGAGTTCCCGTTAACGACGCTTTTACGGGTACCAATGGCACCGGTTCTTTAGTTGCATTCCCACCTTTCGATGCTCAAGATCCAACTGTTGGAGATGCTTGGGATGACGCTGCTGGAACTGATGAGTGTGGAAATCCTACTGGACCCGGAGGAAACTTTGATTTCTGGGGTTTGATCGATGGCGGATTTTTGAAGTCGAATGGAGATGTCGCAGATGGTATCGCTTACCGGTTCGATACTTGCAGTCAAACAGTACGTCTTTCGTCTTGTTCCTGCCATGTTATTTCTTTTAACTCAAACTCAACACAGCCATACGTCTACAACGAAACTTCCCAAGTCATGGTCTCGTTCGACAACGCTAAGTCGTTCGCTGCAAAAGGGAGCTTTATAAAAGAAAATAAGTTGAGAGGATTTGCTATGTGGGAAGCCGGAGGAGATTCGAGTGATATTCTGTTGAATTCGATTAGGAAGTCTGCTGGTTTCCACCATTAACAACTGTCGTTTCTTGTGGTTCTTGTTCAGACATTCAAATCTTTGTGCTCGATTATTTATTCATGTATACAAATTCTTTTAATAAACTGCTTCGTCCGGTTCAGAACCAACAATCTCAAATGGCAATGGGTTATAACTCTTGAGGCTAGTTCTCGTATCAAACAAATGAATACATACCGGAATGCCTACTTACCTTATCATGATGAACCGAGCTCTACTTACAAAGACTGTAAAATAGTAGTAACCGAAACCTGTTTGAAAAACCACAGTATCGCAAACTGAAACTTCTCAAAAACGAGTATACACCAACACGAGTTCGCGGTCTGTTATGATTGTGATGAAACCACGACAAATAAAATCACTAGCCCACCGCGAGGGTCGAACTCGCAGCCTTCAGATGCCCTCCCTAAGAGTCTGACGCTCTATCCGATTGAGCTAGGCGGGCATGTCTAGTGACGGCTAATAACCAAGTTTGGCGTTCAGTAGCCTCGTGGTATCAATTCGAGAGTCGTACTTCGGCTCAGGCTCTGACAATTGTTAGAACTTGAATTTTACGACGACGGCCACAAGTCACGGTAAGTCAACAAATCAGGCCTCAGGTCTTGTTGATATCTGAGGTTTCATTGCAAACAGTAGCCTTTTCACCTTCAACAATTTCACACTCCAGAACAATTCTGTAAGTGTACCTGCCGAGATATGGTGGTGGCCACTGAATTTCTTGGTAACTCGTTACTCGAACGTCGCTCAGATGGATTCAAGTTTTCGTCCGGCATCAGAACTCTTCACTCTTTATCCTACCGAAGCTGCAAATACCCTGCGTACTCTACATCAAAGTCGCGATGTAATGAGATTCGCTTACATGAAGACATTGTGTTTCGGAATCCGCGACGAAACCGAAATTCTTGAAAAGCACATGATTCAGTTGTGCATTAATCGTCTACCTCTTGTGCTTCTGGATATCATATGTGACCCCGAGATATTCCCAGATCCTCAGAAAATGGAGAACGCAGAAGATCTAGAAGATGTTTGGAGACCTGCGGAGAAGACCAAACCAGATCTTGTTTGTTGTCTCATTTTCGAGTTTTATTCTTTCCATCTGACAGTAAACATTTACGACCCATATGTTTGCAGGAATACCTTTCACACGCACTGCTGTCATTCAGCCTATTCGTTGAGCTTCTAGACAAGGCCATCTCGACAGGTGACGACTCAGACTCAGATTCACTCTCTGAAGAGGATTACGAATTGCTCGAGCCATATGCGCGTGAATTTTATGCCGCCATTCCAAAACTGTGGGGTGCTCTGTGGCATGAGATACGAAAGAGAGGAGGCCTCACTTACCTGGATTCAGTTGCTATCGTCATAGACGACTTCGACGTTTGGGATGGGATAGATCAATTCTTAACAACCGTGCTGAATATCACCAACTTCGTCATTGAAGAAGGGTATAATCCTGACAGGTGCATCTATACCTCTTTCTACATTATTAAGCTTGACTTATCTCCTATTCTTTGATACTCGACAGTAACCCAAGGTTACTAATCGCAGGTAACAATGATTACCTTGGCCGTGTTCTCTTTTTTACCTGGCTATTTATGGATGAAGAAGGAATGCACTATCGCTATTCTGCACTCTACCACCTTATGGATCTTGTACGGCAGCAACGTCAAGCTAGAGTGGACCGTATTTTCGAAGAGATATTTTTCTCCGAACGAATCGCAACCAGGATCATCAATACGCTTGTCACAGACTTTCGTTATATGAACGAAACTGCGACCATTGATCTCATTTCCAATGGACTGGCAACAGATGTGGTTGCACTGGATTTTTTTGGGTTCTTAACTAGTGCTGCATCTCGTCTTCCGACTCATCTTAAGAATGAGACCGAACATCAACTTGGAAATCTCATGCATATTATCACAGTCGCATGCCGCCAATGTCTTTGTCGCTACATCATTAATCGTTCCCCAGAAGCAGATGATGACCTTGAAGCGGATGGAGTGATGGGTATTGTAGATGCGGTCACTGGATTAGGGTGAGCTTTCAAAACTATCATATCTCATTCATTGATTTGACTTCGCTATTTAGCCGCATTGTTGAGACAAAACAAATCGATTCAATCATTGCAGCCAAGAAGTTCATTAAACAGCCAGAGACTATCCCTCTCCTGAGCCGAGTCTTACTCCTCTCTGTTTCTAGAATTTATCCATTGTGTGTCGGTAGGTCTGTTTCCTTGCATTGATCAGAATCGAACATACGCTTCTAACCTCTCAACATTGCTTCTGCGCAGATCGGATAAATATAATCCTAACCAAATTTATCGAAGCATTCATATACTTGAGGAGCAAATCTGACATCGGCATGGAGGTTAATGAAGATATGCTTCAATTGTTTCAATCACAAGTCCTTCTGGTAGCAACAAAAACA